GATAATAGCGCGTTGTGACAAACACCAGATACAGCACTGGGACTTGATCAACAGCCGATACCGCACCGTGACGTCACAAACCAGTAGGTGGCAGTAGTGTTCTTTGACAAACATGGATGCCTCCAGTAAAGCACATTCAATGAAAATTACTCTGAATAAAAAAAAACACTTAACATTTATTGAACAGTATGTAATAACTTTATATTTAAAGTACTTTCAGAAGTTTGAATTCTGAATTTGCCCGGACTGTTCCTTTAAAAATAAACAAATGAAATAATGTACTGTAAAGTTTTTTAACAATATAAAACTGTACACGTGGAGAATAAATAACCAATATACAGCTATGGACATTTTTATAGTAATGGATACTTAAGAAATAGCAGCAGCATCAAAGATGTGCAAAATTACATTACTTTGCTTCAATGTTTTAAAAAGAATCTTGACTTTAACTTTAGGATTTAATTTCTCAATTTGACAGATTTTGTGACAAACCAGATTAACATTTAACGGAACATTTGTTGCAATCCACTCTTTCTTCATTTATAGGGTAGTCTATGAAATTCGGGTCAAGAGTGTTATCGAAATTGTTACATTATCATCAGCTCCTTAATGCTGATCCAGGAATTAATTTTTTGTACTTTTTAAATTTGCCTATTAAATTATTAACTCTCTTAGAAGTTAATTTACAGTAAGAAACACATCACACAAAAAAGGCAACATTAGGTTAGTCAATGAAGCAGCTACCCTCAGATTTAAGACAGATGTGAACCTTACAGGATTGCAGATCACACAGGATCTCACTGTTTTGCCTGGTTTGCTGCATATCAGTGTTTATATCCAAGGTACCAAAAATAATAATTTAAATGATAAAGGGTTAAAGTTGCAGCTAAAATCAACAGTTGATAATAGGTTATTTTGTTAACAAATGATTAGATTTTGTCCTGATTTCTCTGACCAAGCTTTAAACTCCTTCATTAAAACAGAAGCTCTAAACGTCTCTGTACATACAGCTGTCCTCTCCCTCAGCGTTCGGTTTGTGTTGATTCAATCATTGTTTTTTTGTTTCAGAGATGCTACTGGAGTGATATGTTCACAGGAAGGCTGCGCTCTGAAATCCCCACTGCTCTGGTGAGATTAGCTTCCCTTGTTTTTACTTTCCCATCACTTAAGGTTTAATTTTATTTAAACAGTTTGGTTCCTACACCGGACGATCCAAAGGACCTGACAGGAAATCTGAGGAAAAATGGCAACAAAATAAAAACATTTTTGCTTTAAGAATAAGAATTTTTTTTTTTATTGAATTTATTCCTTACTCTCTCATTCAAACTGATCCTTAGTTATTTGATTCTGTTTTCAATGTTGATTTAAAGAAGTTTTCAGTTCCTGCACACCTCCTTATTTATTTATTTTTTTTTTAGAACTGAGGACCTTAGGTACTAGATGCATATTTAAGAGAAGCATCTCATCTGAAATATTTTACAGGGTCTTATACCTTCTTATAAATGGAAGTGATATTTACTTTATAATTATTCTGATCATGCTTTTATTAGATGTCCTTGAGTGGTGCGTTAATGAGCGCTGGTGCCAGGCTGACTGAGCTGGACCTCAGTGATAACGCCTTTGGGCCTGATGGCGTCAGAGGAATTGAGCAGCTCCTGAAGAGTCCGTCCTGCCACATGCTGAGGGAACTGAGACTCAACAACTGCGGCATGGGAACAGGAGGAGGAAAGGTGACTTCAAGCCAAGCACAGCATCTTTTTAGCAGCTGACAAATAAGATCTAAACAGATTTTTTGTGTGTGTGTTAAACAACCAGATCCTGGCTGAGGCTCTAATCGAGAGCCACAAAAAGTCAGCAGCCCTTGGATCCCCCCTGAGACTGAAAGTGTTCATTGCAGGGAGAAACCGGCTGGAAAATGATGGAGCCACTGCCCTGGCTAAGGCCTTCCAGGTAGATGGTACTGCTATAGGAAGGATTTTACTTTCTTTAGGTGCTTTTAAAATGATAATTCAAATTCAGGAGTGATTCAAATACATTTAAGTTTGCTCCTTCTGGCATTAGCCTTTACTCGTCATGTAGTGTAATGTAGTCTGGTTAATAAATGCCATTATTATTATGAAAAATGAGGTGGCTGGCAGGAATTCGGTTAACCCCTCGGTTTGTCAGTGTTTCAATTAATACGACCTTCCTGTTTCATCATGTCATGGGAAAAAAGTATTCAACTATTCACCCCAGTTAAATAAACAGAGATTGATTGGATTTCACAGTCCGGACTTTGTTTTATCCTTGCAAAGAGAGAACAGTTTGGTACGGAAGAGGATTAGGGCCTCTGGGGAAAAAAAACCAAAACAGATTTTTTAAATTTTATTTCAGAATAGTATGGGGGAAAAAAGTAACTTTAACTTTAATCTCAGAACTCAGACTTTTTTTTTCAGAATTCTGACTTTAATCTCAGAATTCAGACTTTTTTTTTTTCAGAATTCTGACTATAATCTCAGAATTTTGGATCTTAATGTAGATGGGCACCATGAAGGAAGAGATGTGGGAGCACTCAGCTTCACTGACAAAGATGTGAGTTGTCTGAGGTGGCCAGTGACACATTGGTGGAAAATGACGGAATTAGGCAACTTTTTACGTGCCCGAGGGGTCCCCTCATTAATAGAGGAGCAGAAGGTCATTAAAACAAGAGAGCTAGTCTCTAAAACAGACATGGCTATGGCCTGATGCTAACATGTTTGTTAGCTGTCAGAATTCTGAGAAAAAAAAGTCAGAATTCTGAGAAAAAAGTCAAAATTCTGAGATTAAAGTCAGAATTCTGACTTTACACTCATATTAAACTAAAATAAGAATTAAAAATCAGTTAACTTTTTTTTGTGTTTTCAGTGGCCCTAATCCTCTTCCGTAGTTTGGTAATCAGCCCAGTTCCGTTCTGGGCAGCATTCACCTGACTTAAAGTAGTCAGAGTCGAAACAAATTACAGACACTTTGGTTAAACAGTTGCATGTTATGAATAAACCTTTATAGAGAATCTCGCTTGCTATGGGAAGAAGTACGTCTAGTCTACAAACACCCCTCACTCAGGCATTATGTGGCCTTGCAGGTGAAACGGACTGAGAAACTTTTATAGTGAGTAAATGGCTATAAATCAATATATGAAATGACAGAAATCTAAATTTCCCGATCACAATTGGTAAGATGATAATTTAAGACTATAAAACATTGTGTAGGATCCATACCAAAATTTTACATACGAAAACACCCAAAAATTGCATATAGGAGGGAATTAATCCTGTTTTATAAAATCCTGTCCAAACCCATGCAGGTTCCTTTATGGATCACAGCTGTGTCTCCTTTTACATCCAAGGTTCCACCTTATGTTCCGCCAACTTCACATCAACATTAGACAATAAGTCTAAGCAAACCTCCGCATTAAGGTCATCGTGCATCTGAAGATCCATGAGCTTAACGTTATTTAAAGGTTAACAATGGCAAGCAAAGGAGGGACGGAAAAGCAGTTTAACCGCGGTTTGTGAGTGAGATGGAGAGTCAGATAAATATGTTTTGTAGCCACAGTAGATCAATTACCCGGTAAGTATTTTTTTTTTATCACAGAGTCTGATGGAGTCTGATGGATTATCAGATTAACAAGGACTTCCAGGCAGCATGGAGCTGTTAGCTGGTTGGGATATCTCAGCTTAAATTCACAGGATTATTCAGTTCCTAAAAGAAGCTTCAGGTAGAGCGTCAGTTAATATTTGATTATGTTTAACACCAGTAAGGCAAGATCCAACAGGAACCACAGAGGTTGCAGGTCAACCTGCTGCCTCCAAAGCCACCGTCACCCCAATGGAAGAGTTATGAAGAGACTACGGCTACGTTCACAGAGCAGCCTGAATTGACCCAAATCAGATTTTCTGCCCACATGCGACCTCTATCTGATCTTTTCATGGCAGCCTGAACAACACGGATCCGATTTTTTTTTTTTTTTTTTTTTTTTTTCCCCCCCCCAGTGCGACCCGGGCCACTTGGCTCTGTGAACGCTTGGCTCTGAACGGCCAGGTTGCATTCATCTGACCTGAACACCAATAATGCTCCACAAAGGTCACTATTCTGCATCTTACTACGCAGAAACAACCAGCATGGCGGATGATAATGCTGAGAGCAGTATTTTTATAACCACTTTTCAAGATGGTTAAAGGTTTGGAAAGGTCCCTAGATGCACTCCAGCACTACCATCCACGTTTAATTCCATAACACAGAGCACGCCCGCTGTTTGTGACGTCATTGCGTCCTCTACTGCGCATGCGGGACTCTAGCTTTATATAAATGCAGTTCACACAGAAGTTCACACAAAAGTCGCATATAATTTGAAATGTGAACGGCAACTCAAAAAAATCGTATTTAACCAAAAAGTAAGGCCTACAGCCTGAACGTAGCCGAAAACAAACATGGTAGTGCAGGAGGCCGTTAAATTAGCTGCTGCAATCATATCTGTTTGGTCAGAATCCCGGATTTCAGAGCATTTCAGACAGAAGTTGTTGTGGTTTCTCATTGTCTCTGTTGCTGTTTGGCAGGCTCATGTTTAATCAGAATGCACATCGCTAATTTACGGCAGAAAACAATTTATCAAATTAATCGATTATTAAAATAATCGTCAACTCATTTAGTAATCGATTAATGGTTAACAGGAGTATAGAGACTATAAAACATACTTGTAGCTTACAGAGTGACCCACTTAGAGCAGGAATTATATAAAAATTCTAACTAATATATAAAGATTTAGCATTTAAGATAAAAAAAAATGTTTTCGTCTTTCAATATTCTCTATCTGGATCTCCTCAAGTTGAAAAGTTTTTGTTTCTCCTGGTTTAATTAAGTTATAAATATTCTTCAAGGAATGCTTTCTTGTCTGATTATTCATTTGTCAGATTAATCGATTTGCTAAATAATTGTTAGTTGCAGCCTTAGTTTAATTAATTAAATATGAATTTTGCTAAATTTGAAAAAAAAAGAAACTCATTGCTTTGCCACATTTGCTCCAAAGGTTCTGCTGAACATTCCTCTTTTCCACAAACAGATTTAATCAGAGAATTCCCAGATTATTAATAAGTACGACTAATCCTGAGAGCTAATTGTCATCAGTCTGTCTGCCAGGTTTATCTGAAAAAGTCTGAGATTTTAGCATGAAAAACACTCCCATGTGTAGCAACTATAAGAGTCAATCTGAGGATCAATCGATGCTGATGTTTTCAAACATTGGTTTTAAATTGTTAAAAAAACTAATGTAAAATCTTATCCTTATTATTTGTGCTTCTATCTCTGGTTTAAACTCAACCAATAAGTTGGTTATTTATAAGTTTTGGTTTCGTTTACACTACAAAAACGATTTAGAAATAAGTGAAAATGTCTTAAATTAAGTAAATTTACTCTTAATTTGAGTAGGTAAATAAAATTGTTTGCCAATGGAATGACTATTTTTAACCTTTATAATAAGATAATTAGATAATACGTACTTAAAAATAAGACAATACTGTTGTTTTGTCTTAATTTAAATGTGAATTGCCTTGTTTCATTGGCAAAGTGTCTCACTTACTACCTCAATTCAAGAAAAAAATGCACGTATTTTAAGAAAAAATGACTTACCGGTATTTAGATTGAGATTTTTTCCAGTGTAGCCATTATTTGTAACTATACTTTGGTTTCTAATAAATGTGTTTATTTTTTAAGCTTATGGGCAGCCTGGAGGAGATCCACATGCCTCAGAATGGCATCAACTATGCCGGGGTGACGGCCTTAGCTTCAGCCATCCGTCACAACCCAGAGCTTCAGGTTCTAAACTTTAATGACAACACCTTCACCAAGAGGGGAACCCTGGCCATGGCGCAGGTGAGATCTGCTCCTCTCTGAACGTTCCGCAAAAGAAGCAACGGTTTCTATCCATCATGTTTAAGCCACACCTTCTTTTCCTGCTGACCTCGCAGGCGCTGAGGCACCTTAGAAACGTCCAGGTGATCAACTTTGGCGACTGTCTGGTTCGCTCAGAAGGAGCCATCGCCCTCGCTGCGGTTTTGAGAGAAGGTCTTCCCATCCTAAAGGTATCGATGTGACATCTCCACCTTCTGTTTCTGGCGTCATGGATGTCATGTTATTTCACTCTTTTGCGTTTGGCCTTCAGGAGCTCAACTTGTCGTTTGGAGAGATCACAGAGGGAGCCGCTCTCATCGTCGCTCAGGCCGTCATGGATAAACCCCACATGGAGAAAGTGAATCTGAACGGTACGCTTAACGACCACCGAGCCCACGCTTATTTCTTCATCAAGCTTGAGATAAAAGATTAAAATTGAATTAATGACTCTGACAGGCAACTGTTTGGGTGAGGACGGCTGTGAGGTCTTGCGAGAAATGATGGACAATATGGACAAAGGAGACATGCTGGCTTCCCTCAGGTAACGGGTCGGTCCATCCTGAGGATGCAGAGCTGATGTTCTGCTTCTCTAGGTTGTTGTTGCTTCTATGGTTAACAAGAGTGGCAAGAATAAAAATGATTACCTGATTCCATTGCAGTGAGGATGAGGGGGAACCAGACGACGAGGAAGATGAAGACAGCGATGAAGGCGATAGCGATGCCAGCGATGAATGTTATGAGACCAACGTGTGTGACGAGATTGTTAAAGAAAACGGAACAACAGACGAAGGAAGCCCCGAAAAACCTGAGAGCCAAGTAAGGAAACACGCCCAAAAAAAGTCCTCATGTTTAATCAGATTTTATAGATTTCTAGATTTTATGTTCTCATATTTTATTTTATTTTATTTTTTTTAACTTTTTTTTTTTTTAAGTTTTCATAATTTTTTATTTTTTTTTTCCCCCAAGTTTCTGTTTTTTTTGTTTGTTTTTTTTTATTGTGTTTTATAAATTCTATGCATTTTTCAGATCACATTCACTTAACTTCTGGGGCCAGGCTTTCCTCTGGAGTGTGTCGCAAAGACGCATTTCTATTGGTCTGCACTGATGTTAGCAACTTTTTTTTATTGGTGGGCTTCACGTATAAGATAATGTGATCTTTAAAGTGCAAAGAATGCAATTTAAAAATACTAAATCTGAACTGAAAAAAAATAAATAAATAAAAATAAAATGAAAAAAAGTTAAGCAAAATTTGTAAAAAAAAATTATTTGGCAGCTAATGGGGATCCTAATAAAACTGAAACTAAAAACTACAAATATTGCATTCTTTTAAAATATCAACTTTCATGTGGTTTTTCAAAATTGACTCCATAATTAAAAAGTTTTAATTTCTTTACACTCAGGCAGAAATCCTGGCTTTCCTCAGCAGCCCCTCAGCAGAAGATTTGTGCCGTATGAAGATGAACCTTCAGCAGCAGGCAAGTTAGTTTTCCTTCACCTCCTTCAAGTGTCCTCCGATGTAATTCAGGTTTTTCTGTAGCGCCAATTCACATCATGTCATCTCAAGGCTTTTTACACAGACCGATCAATCAGATCATCCAGTCAGAGTAAATGTTCAAAGCATTGTATCTAAGGGAAAGTGGCTCATTCCTTCCTTCATTTCCTCCTGCATGAGAATGTAGAGACGGTAGACATTTGCTTGCATTGAGTTGTTGACTCTACAGCAATCCCTCCACGTTTGTATGCATCTTTAGCAGAACTACCAGGTTTTGTTCCTCAGTTAAGAATTTTAGTAAAACATTTTCTAAATATCTTCCCTCTCCTTTCTAGGTGAATGCATCTGAACCAAATAAGGCAGCAGACATTTTTTTGAAGCTTGGCTCCCTGTACAGCGAGGACACAGAAACCCAGTTTGCTGTGTTTGAAATGATCGGTAACCGTTTTGCTCTGATGCATAAAGTCAAACCAGACATTTGCATATACTGTATAAAAAGATGAATCATTGCTTTTATTTTTCTCCTGGCTTTCTGACCTTAAACTGCTAAACTCTTCTTCTTTTATCTGAGGTGTAATCAGCTGTATTCCTACAGAGCTAAACCAGTGACAGCTCCCATTTACACCAAAAAATGACAGATGGCACCGTAAAATAAAAGATAAAAACAAAAAAATATCAAACATCACTACTAAGAAATTGAAATCTATTATGATACTTTCTTTTTATGCTGGAGTATTGTTTCTTGGAAATGTTTCTAATTTGCAACTTGTACTTAAAGACTTAAACCAGAGCTTCAATTAAGACAGTTTTGTTTATAATCAAAGTTTTGCAGTTGGGAAAATCCAAGAAACAAACTTTGTATGCCAAATCTTTATTGGAACTCATTTTTTAGGAATCTTGGTTCTGTTAAATATTTGAAAAAGCCATTTATTATCAAGCTCCCACCCCCAATTTGAAGACTTGCTGTGTTTAAATATTTCATCAACTTTGTTCATCAGTTTCTTAAAGAGAAACAATCACACAACAACGTGTTTTAGGTTTGACTTCAATCGGCATGGCGACACTTTCTGGCAGTGTCCTCAGTGTCATCTCATTTTTGTTTTGGATGTTGGTTTATAATAATCTAGGACACAGAACCCTCATCCTTTCCTGAGGTTTTCCTTGGTGGGGGTTCATAGTTAACCTCCTGATGTTAGAGAGAGAAAAATAACATTTTCAACCGTTTAGTGAGGGATATTTGGTCATTCTGGCCTGAAACTGGAGAAGTTTGGTCTGTTTGATATCTTTTTATGAAGCATTTAGAAATGTCTGGTTTGATGTTCAAGAATAACTTCAGAATGAAGTCGTTCCAAATCTGTGACATTGATTTGATTGTTTGTTTTTCTTCAAACATGCATTACCGTTGTACAGATGAAGTTTTGAAGAAGATCCTCTCTGCTTCGGCTCTCCAGTCAACCTGCTTCCTCACCACCCTGATGGTCCTGATGGGAGTCCTGAAGGTAAGGTGGAGCGGAGCAGCCCGCACACATTATATGGGGAGAAATACAAACCATTGAGTTCATTCCTTGCATATTCTAGGCAGCATAATCAGTTTTGGGGATGGGGTCAGCTCTTTAAATGTTTAGTTTTTTTTAAAACTTTCATACAATAAAATTTTTATTTTTTTGTTTTAGGGAGAAGGCAAAGCAAAGAAGGTGCCGCTAGTCCCAGGTCAGCTGTTATGTTTGGAACATGCTGTCCAGCAGGAATATTTCACTCAGGAACACGCCTCTCTGCTTTACACCATGCTGTCCAGGTGAGAAAAGCTGTTATTAACTTGCTTCACTTTAACTGAGGAAGAAGACTTCTTGTAAGTTATGTGTAGATAAATGAGAAAACCCACCCTTTTCTGATCAGCAAATGCATCATTCTTAGTTCTGAACAAGTCGCTCTCAGAGCAGCTGTTTGTTTGGAATCTGATCCTGAGGGATTAAACTCAAAGTTAACTTTTTTTTTTATGTTTGTCTGTTTTAAAATTAAAAAAAGAAGAATTACAAATATAAACAAGTTAATAAGGAAACTTTATCTTCTACACTGATGTCCCTACGGTTCATTCAGGCAGGCCCAAAAAAAAGTTTCCAATGAAATGCAAACAGAAATGAAACTTAAAAAAAACATTTTGATCAAAGACAGTTGTGGAAACTTTTCTGTTTTCTTAGTTTTATTTAGTGCATTTTTTCATTTTGAAAAAAACTGAGAATTATTTATTTTATGATAGATTTTATTTCAGACTAAAAGTCCAAAACGCATAGAAGACGACAAAAGAATAAAAGTACAATAAAAAGCGACTCCTAGCCATTCAAATTATAACCATACCAATGTCTCCACAGTACAGGTGAGTATTTTACTGCTTTATATTTAACATTAGTCAACAGTAGGATAATTCTGTTATTTGACTCGTTTATACGACAAATTTATACGTATGAGGTAGTGCCCGGCCAGGTTTACCTGCTAGAGCCAAAGAAGTAGTAGCTTTGGGGGGTTTCACTGTGGTATTTAGACACGTATGTGTTCCAGCCTGGTCTATTTTTAATCTTTGTTAGTTTTATTATAAGGCAGGCTAGGTCAGAGTAGAGCTTCCATTATATCAGAATATAATCCAGTTAGATTATTAGAGCAATTACAGTTTATGCTTTAGGCATTTTGTTGTTTTTCCATGTATGTAGTTGCTTTAGTTTTTTAATAAGAATTGTAAAAATTTTAAATTAAATGTATTTATTTTTTTCAGATTCTGTTTAGAAGTTGTATTCCTCTCAAAATGTTTTTCACATTCTCCTCACTGCTGTGGTGAACTTTCCTCTGTATTGAGGCACAAAGATGCATTTCTGTTCTGCTGGATGTTTTAGTGAAGAGCATTTGGATTGGGCTGGAAGTAAAGAGAATGTGAAATGTGATTTAATAGGAATGCAATTCATAGGAAAACTAATTTGAAAATATAAAATCTAAAAAAAAAAAAAAGAACAGAAAAACATAAAATAAAATCTGAGAAAACGTCAGTGTTGGTCTGAAAACCCCTTTCTCTTTTTATATTCAAATGTTTTTTAAAGTTTTATTTCTGGATTGCATTTTTTTTTATGGTTTTCAAAAAAATAAAAATAGAATTCCTTTGCTGCAACAATAATGGAACAAATTTCTCTTAATAATTAAGCAGTTTTATGACCAGCGGAATTGTTTAGTTGACCCTACAGGTATGTTCACAGCGAACAGGACTGTCCAGCACCAGGCTACCCGTTAAGGCAGGCGGGGGTTAAGCACCGCACCATTGTTGTCCAGGCTACCTTCACCCCTGTCACACCGTGACCATTTAGACCAGCGTATGCCTGACATACAGGAAATCTAGCAAAAACGACGACACAGCGTCTGCTCATACCTGGGCCATCAGTTCCATGTCAGTTATCTGATGATTGACATGCGTTTTTTTTTTGTTTTTATTATTTGCCGGCCTGCAAACAGCAGCTAGATTAATACCCTGATCAAAGAAGTATTTTTATGCAGACCAGGACACTGGCTTGTGCATAATTTCATGGGCATTACTCTGCCGTGCGTTATAAATAAGTTAGGCTGTCGTTGGACATAAGCTCCGGGCTTGTTCTGAATATGCTATGTATACGCCCAAAATTCGAAAAAATCCATAGAAAGTTCAGCGTATGCCAGCGTTTTAGGAGATTCTGGGACGTCAGGCATATACTGGCTAAATCGGCATGGTGTGACAGGGATCTAAAGTTAAAAACGCTGCCAGTAGCTTTATAAATCCATGTTCGTCATGATGAGGGGGAAATCAATGGGCGGCAGACTCCATGGTGTAGGAGCCTTTCACTCTAGGTGAGAAAACGCAGATGAACCTGGTGAAACTTTTGCACGTTTTGTGTTCGGTGTGAACGTACCTTTATGTCTCTCCATTTTCCTGTATCAAAGAAGGATTTAGAGAAGGAGACATTGTTTCTAACAGTTTTGTTTCTTTGTTTTTTAATGCAGAAACTGTGACGCTCTGAAGTCTTTCAGCAGCGCCAAAGAGAGACTGAGCTCTGCTCTGGAGAAGAAAAAGCCCAACCACCACTAACCAACTGAAGCCAGCATCAGAAACACACTGATCTTTATTTTTCTACGTTTTAAACCAACAGGGAAACTGTCCACTTGAACAGAGCCACTTGATGTATACCTCCAGATGTGTATATTTTATAAATGTGACTGTCCATAATGCTGTAATCTATATTTTTCTACTTTTGATTGTGATGTATACATTTCTAAAAAAAAAAAAAAACAAACAAACAAAAAAAAATAATATTAAGCTGCAAATTGATGTTAAAACGGCCACATTGTAACTAGAAGTGCAACACATAGAAAGGCAAACAAAGCCACTAAAGAAAACAGAAGTTTTATTGTCATCAAAACATTTAATGGCACAAAGTTTAAAACAAAACAATGTTTTGCTATAATCAGATGACGTGATTTCGCTTCAATATAAAGTCCTTTACTAAAGTATTCACACCTCCTGAACAAAAACTCGCACATAATTGAGACAAGCAAAAAAATAAATAAATAAATTTTATCTTCATAACCTCCTGATATATTACCCACAAATGAAGAAGAAACTTCTGGAAGGAAACATGAGTATCTATTTGAAGGATAAACAGGACTTCCTAGACTAAAAAGCCAGTCGGGCCAATATTTACCGTTTCACACCTTTGTTTTGTGTCACCTGAGCAGAATTAGCCAGTTAGCCAATATGAGCATTTTCTTGGCTGAGCAGACCTCTAATTGGTGACTAGGACAAAAAAAAAACCTTCACAACTAGATCTATAGAGCCCCAATAATAGACGGCTGTTTCTGCTACTAGCACATAGATCGCTAACGTCTAATAACACATTAACTGTAGGTTTAAAAAGGAATATTTGCCATAGGAAGCAGAATTGGTCCCATAATGATCCTGCAGCGATAAACATCCGGCTAAATCAGAGGGATCTGTTCATTTATCGGCATCACTCTGAGAAGACCCACGATGTTATGACTTAATGCTGCATTTTTACCTCCTAGATCCACACATTTGTCAAGATATGGGAAGAAAATTAAACTGTTATTTACTGTTTTGTATGAAAGGAAACTGGGTTGTTCATTTACACTGAATATTCTCTTAAATATATAGAAAATTAAAACAAACTTGAATCAGATTGTCTTTTTTTTTTTTCCACAAGTGACTATTTTGGCTCAAATTGTATGAAGTGAAATTTGCTCCATTATTATTGCAACAACGAACATGTCTTGTAAAAGGAAAATTGAAAAAGATAAAATAATTAAATAAAATAAGCTTCTAAATCAAAAGAAAGTTTTGAAAAGAGTTACAGTAAAACACAATGTGAAAAGGAAGCTATTTATAAACCTCAGTTTTAAAAACAAATTTGGGGGAAAAAATTACAAAAATCTAATTTGAAAATTTTTTGGGGGGGATAAATAAAATATGAAAGTAA